CTAGTGAGTTGGTGACGCATAAGTTGAATAGTGAGTTGGTGACACATAAGTTGACTAGTGAGTTGGTGACACATAAGTTGACTAGTGAGTTGGTGACACATAAGTTGAATAGTGAGTTGGTGACACATAAGTTGACTAGTGAGTTGGTGACACATAAGTTGACTAGTGAGTTGGTGAGACATAAGTTGACTAGTGAGTTGGTGACGCATAAGTTGAATAGTGAGTTGGTGACACATAGGTTGACTAGTGAGTTGGTGACACATAAGTTGACTAGTGAGTTGGTGACACATAAGTTGAATAGTGAGTTGGTGACACATAAGTTGAATAGTGAGTTGGTGACACATAAGTTGAATAGTGAGTGGTGACAAATAAGTTAACTTGTGAGTTGGTGACACATAAGGTGGCTAGTGAGTTGGTGACACATAAGGTGGCTAGTGAGTTGGTGAGACATAAGTTGAATAGTGAGTTGGTGACACATAAGTTGACTAGTGCGTTAGTGACACATAAGTTGATTTGTGAGTGGTGACAAATAAGTTAACTTGTGAGTTGGTGACACATAAGGTGGCTAGTGAGTTGGTGACACATAAGGTGGCTAGTGCGTTAGTGACACATAAGTGAGCTATTTCTTAGATATTTGTTGTTGGGGCGTGTACTGTTAATCACCCTCCGTAATAGTAGAACACTGATAGGGGATGTTCCACCGACTGACACTGCATGAAGTCGCCCATGTTGCGGCAGTTGAATCAAGTATGGGACGCTCAAGCGACAAAGCCCATGTGCTCATGTAGCGGATACCAGGCACTAATACAGGGGCGGGGCGGGTCTCAGGGCGCCTTATTGCATAAACCTTCCCAATATTTCATGGCAATTGGATGAAAGTTGTAGTAATGCTTAAGACAGACAAACACACCCATCAACATACGTTCATTTATCGTTGCGATCTCCACACGAAATATTTCGAAATGAAATGACACACCCAATTTCCATCTCAACTTAGAGTTATATCCATTTAAACTGACCTTAATTCTATCATAATAATAAAGGAATTCAACTTTAACGCATCGTAATACACATCCAACTGAATTAAAGTATCTTATCAAACCTTTTAAAATTCTGTTGATACTGACTTAAATTAGTAATAAAATAAATAATGTTTAGTTAACAATGCAGCTATTTTAAATTATGAAAATATTTATCTTTATTATACACTCGGCCCCCGTTATATCAATGCATAATAAATAGGTAAATACAGATAAATAAAGACTAAATTGCACCGGTGCATCATATTTCTATTAACAACTAAAATGGTGAAAATGAGGTCGCCTATATATTTGAAAAATTGGAAACAATTTGAATATTCAATTTATTTTGCCAGAAAATGTGCGCAAATTTTGAAGTGTTATAGTCCAGTGGCCAGTCTTACGCCACACTAGATACAGTGTTTCTTCCAGACTTTTTTCTCCGGGGTGGGAGGGGGGCGGTAGACTTTCATCGAAGGGGGGGGGGCGACACTGTTAAAAGTATATATTTTCTATATAAATTATATAAATTTCATTTCGTTGGGGGGGGGGGGGCGGTAGAATTTTTTCGGAGGATAGATAAACCAGTATACTATAGATAAACCAGTATACTATAGATAAACCAGTATACTATAGATAAACCAGTATACTATAGATAAACCAGTATACTATAGATAAACCAGTATACTATAGATAAACCAGTATACTATAGATAAACCAGTATACTATAGATAAACCAGTATACTATAGATAAACCAGTATACTATAGATAAACCAGTATACTATAGATAAACCAGTATACTATAGATAAACCAGTATACTATAGATAAACCAGTATACTATAGATAAACCAGTATACTATAGATAAACCAGTATACTATAGATAAACCAGTATACTATAGATAAACCAGTATACTATAGATAAACCAGTATACTATCCTCACTGGTAGTTGTGGAAGTTTCAAGACCTCTCATCCCCCTCCACCTGAAGAGGAATTGTCTGGAACGACAGCAATATAAGCAGAAGTCAATAGTGCTCACTATATGTATATGGGATCTCTTAGATATTGTCTTCTAGTTATGTGATCTCTTAGATATTGTCTTCTAGTTATGTGATCTCTTAGATATTGTCTTCTAACTATGTGATCTCTTAGATATTGTCTTCTAACTATGTGATATCTTAGATATTGTCTTCTAGTTATGTGATCTCTTAGATATTGTCTTCTAACTATGTGATCTCTTAGATATTGTCTTCTAGTTATGTGACCTCTTGGGTATTGCCTACCAGTTATGCCTGTCCTCTTAATTGATTCTTCGTAATTGTTTTCATAATTTTATCACCTTTACTATGTTTTCGAAATAAAGTCTTCGTAATCTTGTGTTTATAATTGTATTTTCATACTTTAGTCTTCATAGTTATATTTTCATATATGTGTTATCGTTATTATGTCAATAACATTTTGGTAATCATAATTTAGTATATATAATTTTGCTTGTATAATTTGGTGTTTATAATTAATAGCCAGGATCATCTCATGGGGGCGGGGGGGGGGGGGGGGTTAAATTGTCAATAGACTTTTTATTAACTTTTTTTAAATTTAGAGTGATAAATTATTTTGTTTTGTCGGACTACATTGTGTGTTTTTTTTCTTATTTCTTCAGAGTACTTTCAATTTTTACATCATAGCGAAGCAATGACATACAGCTAAAACAGCTAGTATATATATGTATGTATATATATATATATATATATATATATATATATATATATATATATATATATGTGTGTGTGTGTGTGTATAAATAAATAAATCAATCAATCAATCAATCAAAAAATCAATAAATAAATCAATAAATAAATCTGTCTATCTATCTATCTATCTATCTATCTATTTATATATATATATATATATATATATGTATGTATATATATATCTAATATATAAAGTTGAAAATTCTGTATGTATGTAATTATGTTTGTCGTGGATTACAAAGGAATATAAGAAAATACGATACTTCCATGGTTCAAAAATTAGATAGTAAAAGTGCTCATGGTCTAAATGAATGGTTTAAAAAATTAATACTGAAAGTGTTGTGACATTAGTTTCATTTTTCAAACGGATAGTAATAATTGTCGGCATGTTCATTTAACAACATTTTTAAAAAAATATAATCTTTTACAAAAATTCTAATTATGTCTGAAAATTATTTATATTTTGTCCTTTAGCACTTACTTCCCTTAGATAAATTAGGAAAACACAATTAATTCCCTTTTAAAAAATACTTAGGGTGGAAAAGAATTTACTTTTTATTACTTTGTTTTGGTGTTGGGAATAAAAACAATTACATAATTAGCGCGGATTAATCAAGTGCATATGGTAGGTATTTTTAATCCTGCATTTTATTTATTTCATACACTGAACGTACTGTTTACTAATTATATTTTAAGCAAAGACATTTGACGTAAATAAAGACATCTTTATTCGGGAAAGGGAATTCCCGCAGGTTATTAGTTATCTTTTTTTTTGCGTTTTCGTTTTTGTCTGTTGTTTTTTTTTTTTTTTTTTGCGCACGAAGGGAATTCATTTTTGTCGGTCTCAACAGAAAACTCTTTTATAGAGACCTGCACCAAATTACAAGATGATATACAATTTTATATAATAATATCCGTCCCTGATTTTGCTGTGTTTGTGTTGTGTTTAAGTTGTGTTTAAATCGTGTTTGTTTTGTGTTGTCCTGTGTTGGTGTTGTGTCGTTGTTGTGTTTGTGTTGTTTGTGTTGTGTTGTGGTTGGGTTTGCGTTTGGATTTGGTTTGTTTTCGTTTGCTTTTTTGTTTGTTTTTTCTTGGTATTTGTGGTTGTGGTTGGGTTTGTTGTTAGGTTTTTGTTTGTAATTGTGTTTGCGCTATGTTTGCGGCTTTTTTTTTTGTTTTGGTTGGTTGTGGTTGGGTGGGCAATGCCGGGTATATGATGATTACTAAACACACAGGTAATGGTCCTTAACAGATAGGTTTTTCACAGAGGCCAGAGCAGGCCTGGCCGGGACGGCTAGTATATATATATATATATATATATATATATATATATATATATATATATATATATATATATATATATATATAATGCTGGAAAAAATTTGAACTCCCCCCCCCCATGAGATGATCCTGGCTAAGCCACTGGCGACAGGATATGAGGATATAAGCGCGTTGTATATTTCCTGTATGGCTTGCGGATATAAGCATTTCCCCATTTAGTTGGTGATATAAATAGAAATTGTTGCATTATCATTGTTTCTCATATTTTACAGCACAAGTATGGGATAAAAAAAAGGGAACACACATTTTAATTAGATCAATGACATTAATATAATTAAATCAATCTAGAATGGCAAATTAATATTTTAAAACTCATACAATTGTACCGTTCTATGTCGAGTCCCTTGTAAATATTGTACCGTTCTATGTTGAGTCCCTTGTAAATATTGTACCGTTCTATGTCGAGTCCCTTGTAAATATTGTACCGTTCTATGTCGAGTCCCTAGTAAATATTGTACCGTTCTATGTCGAGTCCCTTGTAAATATTGTACCGTTCTATGTTGAGTCCCTTGTAAATATTGTACCGTCCTATGTCGAGTCCCTTGTAAATATTGTACCGTTCTATGTTGAGTCCCTTGTAAATATTGTACCGTTCTATGTCGAGTCCCTTGTAAATATTGTACCGTTCTATGTCGAGTCCCTAGTAAATATTGTACCGTTCTATGTCGAGTCCCTTGTAAATATTGTACCGTTCTATGTTGAGTCCCTTGTAAATATTGTACCGTTCTATGTCGAGTCCCTTGTAAATATTGTACCGTTCTATGTGGAGTCCCTTGTAAATATTGTACCGTCCTATGTCGAGTCCCTTGTAAATATTGTACCGTTCTATGTCGAGTCCCTTGTAAATATTGTACCGTTCTATGTCGAGTCCCTAGTAAATATTGTACCGTTCTATGTCGAGTCGCTTATTATAAATTGTTGTTGTTTCTCTTGTTAGATTCTCTTGTCCCTAGTTAGACTCAGGCGTCCAGAACTTGTCCGCCTGACCTCAGTGCGTTGTATTTCTGCCACCATAATCGTCTGCTGGCTCTCTGCTGCTGCTGCTGATGGTTGTGGTTTCTGCCAGCGTGTATGCTGCCAACATGAAGTTGTGCTGTCGCCCTACGGGGCCTGGACATCAGTAATGAGCCATCTTTGACGATGGATCCGTATTTCATCGAAACCTTGTCTGAACAAGATTGACTTGAATTAAATTTTTGCAAGGCTTTATTGCTCGCATTAATGTGTCAATTCATTAGATTTATTAATAGGCTTTATTCATTATTTTTATTAATATGTTTCATACATTAGTTTCATTTATTAGTTTCATTCATTAATTCATTAGTTTCATTCATTAGTTTCATTCATTAATTCATTAGTTTTATTCATTAGTTTCATTCATTAGTTTCATTTACTAGTTTCAGTCAATAGTTTTACTTATTAGTTGTAATTCATTAGTTTCATTCGTTAGTTTCATTCATTAGTTTTATTCATTAGATTCATTCATTTGTTTCAATCATTAGTTTCATTCATTAGCTTCATTCGCTAGTTTCATTAATTAGAATTCATTAGTTTCAGTCGTAAGTTTCATTCGTTAGTTTCATTCATTAGTTTCATTCATTAGTTTCATTCAGTAGTTTCAATCTTTAGTTTTAGTCATTAGTACCATTCGTAAGTTTCATTAATTTGTTTCATTTATTTGTTTCATTCATTAGTTTCATTCATTAGTTTCATTCATTAGTTTCATTCATTTGTTTCATTCATTAGTTTCATTCATTCGTTTCATTCATTAATTTCATTCAATTGTTTCATTCATTTGATTCATTCATTTATTTTATTCAATCGTTTCAGTTATTAGTTTCAGTGATTAGTTTCAGTCATTAGTTTCATTCTTTATTTTCAGTTATCGGTTTCGTTCATTAGTTTCATTCATTAGTCTCATTAATTAGTTTCATTCATTAGCTTCATTCGTTAGTTTCATTTAATAGTATTCATTAGTTTCAGTCATTAGTTTCATTTTAGTTTAATTCATGCGTTTGTTTCGTTCATTTGTTTTAGTCATTAGTTTCATTTATTAGTTTCATGAGTTCGTTTCATTCATTAGTTTTAATTGACCTCTCAAGAAATACATTTTAGGACACAATGAGACACAATAGGGAGCTAACTTTATAGACACAATGAGGAGCTAACTTTATAGACACAATGAGGAGCTAACTTTATAGACACAATGAGGAGCTAACTTTATAGACACAATAAGGAGCTAACTTTATAGACACAATAAGGAGCTAATTTTATAGACACAATAAGGAGCTAACTTTATAGACACAATAAGGAGCTAACTTTATAGACACAATAAGGAGCTAACTTTATAGACACAATAAGGAGCTAATTTTATAGACACAATAAGGAGCTAACTTTATAGACACAATAAGGAGCTAACTTTATAGACACAATAAGGAGCTAATTTTATAGACACAATAAGGAGCTAACTTTATAGACACAATAAGGAGCTAACTTTATAGACACAATAAGGAGCTAACTTTATAGACACAATAAGGAGCTAATTTTATAGACACAATAAGGAGCTAACTTTATAGACACAATGAGGAGCTAACTTTATAGACACAATAAGGAGCTAACTTTATAGACACAATAAGGAGCTAATTTTATAGACACAATAAGGAGCTAACTTTATAGACACAATAAGGAGCTAACTTTATAGACACAATAAGGAGCTAACTTTATAGACACAATAAGGAGCTAATTTTATAGACACAATAAGGAGCTAACTTTATAGACACAATAAGGAGCTAACTTTATAGACACAATAAGGAGCTAATTTTATAGACACAATAAGGAGCTAACTTTATAGACACAATAAGGAGCTAACTTTATAGACACAATAAGGAGCTAACTTTATAGACACAATGAGGAGCTAACTTTATAGACACAATGAGGAGCTAACTTTATAGACACAATAAGGAGCTAATTTTATAGACACAATAAGGAGCTAACTTTATAGACACAATAAGGAGCTAACTTTATAGACACAATAAGGAGCTAACTTTATAGACACAATAAGGAGCTAATTTTATAGACACAATAAGGAGCTAACTTTATAGACACAATAAGGAGCTAACTTTATAGACACAATAAGGAGCTAATTTTATAGACACAATAAGGAGCTAACTTTATAGACACAATAAGGAGCTAATTTTATAGACACAATAAGGAGCTAACTTTATAGACACAATAAGGAGCTAACTTTATAGACACAATAAGGAGCTAACTTTATAGACACAATAATGAGCTAATTTTATAGACACAATAAGGAGCTAACTTTATAGACACAATGAGGAGCTAACTTTATTGACACAATGAGGAGCTAACTTTATAGACACAATGAGGAGCTAACTTTATAGACACAATAAGGAGCTAACTTTATAGACACAATAAGGAGCTAACTTTATAGACACAATAAGGAGCTAATTTTATAGACACAATGAGGAGCTAACTTTATAGACACAATGAGGAGCTAACTTTATAGACACAATAAGGAGCTAACTTTATAGACACAATAAGGAGCTAACTTTATAGACACAATAAGGAGCTAACTTTATAGACACAATAAGGAGCTAACTTTATAGACACAATAAGGAGCTAACTTTATAAACACAATAAGGAGCTAACTTTATAGACACAATAAGGAGCTAATCAGACGCCATCCAGACACCATCAGGTACTAGCTTTCCGACCAACTCCCCAGTATTTTCTGTCAAAAAATAAAGAACCCTACCAGGTGTTTGCAGCTAGCAAATTTGGCAACTGACCTGAGTCCGGCAGAGGGATGTCGAAAAACTTTTCCTTGAACACGGTAGACAAGACTGCATGGTGTAGTAAGGTCAGTGTCAGGCAGATGAAAAGGCAATGTTTGCCAAACATTTTCTCTGAGAAATTAAACAAATAAATATGACGTGTAGGTGATTAAAGCTGTAAATAGAAATCAATGAATTTTAAAGTTTAAAGAAGGCGTAATAATATAATCAATCATTTTCATTAATAACGATTTGAAAAATGCAAACTCTAGTTTTAAAAAAAAGCATAGAACTGTTTTCATAAAAAGCTTGTATATTATTATCAACTAAAAAGGAGAAAATAAATGATTTTCCTTAAATATATAATAATTTACTACTATTTATGGAAGAAACTTGCCCGAATGCCGTTTGCCCATAGGCCGATTTCCCGAATGGACACTTGCCCAAATGCGACAAATGCCCGAAAGCCACTTGCCCGAATGCGACTAATCCCCGAAAAATGTTAACATTATATATTACCAAATAATCATTCGTAATGAATTATTATATGAAATGTTGTTAAACATTACATATCTAAGCAAAATGAATGGAAAAAAATTATATTATATATTACCACACAGACATTATTAATTAATTTGTATTTGTTATATAAAAAGTGTACAAACATATTTTCTCTTCCATCTATGAAACAAAACAAAAATACCATTTTCATTTATCTTAGGCTTTTAAAATTAATTTTGCTTTCTTTATTAAGTAATCTCTTCAACGCGTTGTTTAAACAAGGTTCTTTAAATGGAGATAAAACATAACTGACTATTTTAAGTTTTTTAATGCACCACCTAGACCTCGCATCATTATTTTGTGAAATGATCACCACACAAGTTGAGCATCACAAGATAACCAAACAAACGCGCCTCTGTTCAATGTTGCGAGACGCCGCGCCGCCTTCACCGTGTCATAAACATTATATAACCACGGTAACACGTCGGCTAAACGAGGTGTTAAAAACTTAGATCAAAAGAATGTTAAGACACCGTTGCCAACATCACCATACATTTTTTAAAGAATAAAGAAATTTTTTAAAAGAAATTTCTCATGTTTAAAAAAATAAAAAATAAATTTTAAAAATATAAACAAATTTGGTTTTTTTTTGGTATTTTGCTAAGAATTGTGTTTATTATCAAAATTTCAAACTAGAATTGATTAAGGGGATATGCTAAGTTTTTTTTAGCGCAATTTCCATTCTGGAGAATTGCGTTTATTAACTCGTCTTTTCTGGGAATGTATGAATGGATGGATGGATGGATGGATGGATGGATGTGTGTCCGCAGCTTTAAGTCGTATCTCCTCCTCAACGGAGCAATATCGATGACTAGTTCCAAAAGTAATTATGTTAAACAAGTTACGAGGATGAACATAGGCCATAAAAATTCCGGGTTTCTTTCATGGATTTCCCGGAAAAGCCAAAAAACCTCGAAAAAAAGCAGTTTTTGGCCCATATCTCGGCAACCAGACCACTTAGCGACTTGAAACATTTACCAATCGATTCCTGCCATAACTTAGAACAATATTGCCGAAGAAAGTTTTTAAAAATATCCTTTCGTTCGGTCACAAAAATTTTTTTTAATTAATTAAAATTTGGACCGAATTAGTAGGCATTTTTTCCAACCACACCACACGCGTCATCACGTTCATTAGCTGCGCCATCACGCTCAATGGTGCGCCATCACGTTCAGTAGCTAGGCGCGCAATGGTTTTTAGTCATGTAACTCTATTGTAAATAAAACATGTATTTTAACCAATGGTTTTACTAACCCTGCTCTTGATTTACGTTACGACAGAGCTATTTTTAGATAACATAAGGAAATTGCGCTAAAATTGTCACTAGACTTTTTAATTACCTTGTTTCTCTATTTTTTTACAATTTAAGATCTAAAGCCTTTTGAATACTACTACCATGTTTGGCACATGAAAGTAAGTATTGAACCGCAAAAAAGAGGGCTGAAAACAATTTTGCTTGTCATGGAAACCCAAAAAAACCTCCTCCACCAATTTGAATTTTTCGCTACATTTAAAAATGCTAAGGCTTTTTATTTATGCACCTATAACAATAAAACTTAAACTGCTTTATATTTCAGTATATTTTAAAACTATTGTCACCACAACTTTATGAAATAGCGAGTATTAAGAATTTTACATGGTCTAAATAATAGTACTCTTTTTAGTATCCAAAATTTTAAAATGTGCATATTATTTACCAAATACTTTTTTTTCGATGAAAGCCATCACAATTCCCTCGTGACAAAAGTTGTATTTTTGCATGAAGAACAATTACTGAAAATATGGTTGGCATTGTTTAATAAATAAAAAAAGTTGTAGGCTTTTTAGTGTTAAAAACCTGCGAACTGAGAAAAACAGCAAAAAGTAATGAAAAATAGGCCACGAAAATACCACATCTGTAAAAACTGCAAAGCGGATTGTAAGCTTCGGGTGTTTCCGAGATTATGGAAATAAGGATTATGAAACACAAGAGAAGTCAAGCTTTCCATTGATGCCAAATACAATATCATGGCGGATATAAAATTATTGTTTGAGACAGTGGCGGAACTAGAAAAAAAGGGCCACCCCGCAAAAAAATTTTTTTGGCCCCACACACACATATATATATATATATATATATATATATATATATATATATATATATATATATATATAAACAACACATCATATGTGTGAGTGCTATTAGTCTGTTTTGAAGTTCTCTGTTTCAATGTCTGACATGGCGCTACCTAATTTAATGGCGGTCAAAATATTATGAAGCATGAAAGCTTTGTATGTGTAATGGTATCTCGCCTTATGTTTATTTTTAAGTTGTTGTTTTTTTTTGTATTTTATTAGGTTTTTAATACATTTCCTTTCATACTATGTCTTTCTTTATTGTGTAATTTTAAAAAAATAATAGTTGAGTCAAGTAAGTGCTTTTTAATTTGTTTAGTGAAAAAAAAAGTTTCTTAATTAAATAAAGTACACATATTTGACTATTTAATGAAGGGAAATAAGTCATGGAAGTGATTTGAACGTTTGCCTATCTTTCACTCATGTAGCTATATACGTTTTTCCTTTATGAAACAGCGATGTTAGCTACTGTAGAACATCATTACTGTAGTAGATCTGTTTGTTTGTTGTTGTTTTTTTTTTTTGCAAAAAAAATGTTTTTTTTTAAACTATAAAAAAGTTGATTCTGGTCGGCTTTGGGCCCCTAAATGACCTGGGCCCCCCCGCATTGCGGGGTCTGGCGGCACTGTAGTTCCGCCCCTGGTTTGAGAGCTTATTAGATCGAGAAAAAATGATTATTTTTTAATCAATAGGGTCATAAAAATGGTAATTTAAACACATACATATTTTTCTCATTAAAGTATTTATTTTCTTAATACACAACTGGACAAAGTATCCAAAAGTGCAAGAAACCCATCATGACGAAAACAATTTTGTGATTTTTTACTTAGCATATCCCCTTAAGAATGTCTATTTGGTAGTATTATTTATTACCTAATGTTAACATTTTTCGGGCAAACAGCTTTCGGGTAAATGGCTTTCGGGCATTTGTCGCATTCGGGCAAGTGTCTATTCGGGCGTTTGTCGCATTCGGGCAAGTGTCCATTCGGGCATTTGTCGCATTCGGGCAAGTGTCCATTCGGGAAAACGGCCTTCGGGCAAACGGTATTCGGGCAAACGGTATTCGGGCAAGTGTCTTTCGGGAAAACGTCCGGCTCCCCTATTTATATACCAAAAAAGAAAAGCGTGAATCAATGTATTATGTATCGAATACCTTCAATAGAACTTAAGAAGTAATCCACTTTTTTTATTTCTAATTTTCTGGAAAGCAATTTTGCATCCTGAATTCTAAAAAATGTTCTGAAAATAGCTTTTGACACGACAATTAAATACTACTTAAACAGATATCGGTGCATCAAGTTTTCATATTCTAATCAAGCAAATGTTTCTTCTGTCGCTTCTAATTTTGTATGAAGGGGATATGCTCAGTTTAAAAAAAAATCATTTAAGATCTAACGCCTTTTGAATAATTTTACTATGTTTGGCCCATGAAAGTAAGTATTAAACAGCAAAAACAAAAAAGAGTTGAAAACAATTTTGGATATCATGGAAATCTAAAAAAAAAACCTACACCATTTTGGATTTTTCGGTACTTTTAAATACGCTAACGCTATTGAACGTGATGACGCGTGTCTAATAGCGCGGAGTAGCTTGATAAGACTGCCGACTAATTTGGTCAAAATTTTAATTAATTCATAAAAAAAAATAATTACGTAGTTTTTTTTCGTGTCCCGCCAAGTCTTAGACAACATGTTTTTATCGTTTAAAAAAACGATTCCGACCGAGCATGTCTCTGACCACACTATCCCTTCATATGCTTAGGACAAAGAAACAGATGAACTCTACTTCATCTACCCTGTATCCCGCCATGTTCAGATAGTCAAATTTATCATTCACATCTCAAAAACAATTTTTTTTTTTTAACTTTGACGTGATATGTCTAGAACCCGTGCCATCCGCATGAAAGCCTATTACACTAACAACTTAGCTGTCTAGACTCGTGACTTCACTGATGTTTTTTTTGGTATAAGTTAATACTATGAGTCTCTTTATGCAACTTGATTTACGTGCATAGGCCCTATCTAGATCTAGATCTAAGTCTAGTAACTTTCAACTTAAATTATATCTTAAATCAGCCAATTGCATAGCTAAACAAACAAAGATTTATATAAAATAATGAAGGTCTGAAATAGATTCTAGATGTAGAATTTACATTAAGTCTAGATCTAGAATTTAGGTTAAGTCTAGTGATCTAGATCAAGATTCTAGATTCATAACTTTTTCTTCCTTCGACAGCTGATTTGTAGATCTAGAGAAATTTATTGTAAAATTAAATGAAAAAGACAGTTGAAAATCGATTTAAGTGTTGGAACGTAATAAATACAGCAAACGGACGTATTGTTAAAGTTATAGCCGACAGAAAATTAGTTTTAGAACGCGTTAAACATTGGAATGGGATTACAATCTTCTTCTATAGAAGCCGCCATTGTTTATGTAAAAAGTAAACAAATCATGTGACGCCACGATTGAGTCAAAGTAAAGCCACTGTTTGAAACTTTTATAATTAATGTGGTTAATCTACCAATGAATAAATCAATAAATTAATTAACTTCTTTAAATAAATTTGTGATTAACAGTCTGTCTGAAAACAAAAATTGTTCTCTACCTACATACTATTTTACAGCTCTATACATATTGCAGATTCTCTCCAGTAGCCAATCAGACAAACAAATAAACATGTAAACAAAGTTGAGTTTTAGTAGTATTTAGATTAGATGAAAGCTTGTTATTAAAACGTTTTTTTTATGAAAAAAAATTTCAGTACTTTAAATTTTTCAAATTTACAATAGACTTGCATAATTAAAAACCATGCGCACCTAATGAACGGAATAGTTTGATGAGACGGCTTACTAATTTGGACAAAATTTTAATTAACTACAAAAAATTTTAATTAGGCAACAAATTTAGTCAAATTTAATGTCATGTTGCATTGTCTTCAATGTAAGCAAGGCATAGGGGCCCAAGGCACATAGGGGCCCTTTTCCCTCTTAAAAAATTAAAACTTTTTCATTGGAATTTAAATATTTGTTTTATATAAATAATTTTTTAAAATGGTTAATAGTTCCAAAAAGGCCCCCAGTCCTTTCTTACTGTACAGACCGTGAGATTCAATGAGGATCGAACAGGGCCCATCCGCAATATTACACTATAGGCGTCGCCACTTTGTCGTGCAAGACATTGAGAGAATTAGCCTATAAATAAACTTGTACTTTGACTAGTAAGTTTAAATGCATAGCTTAAAACCTCAGCTTACTGGGAAATTCCCTACCCCCCCCCCATAGACCTGCACCTCCCTCCCAAATCTCTGCCCTCCCTCGAAACTCAATCCTACTAAACATAAATGATAACTACTGCACCATTTAAAAAAAATAACAACCATTGACAGTGTTTCCACAAGCGAAGTTCAACATTTATTAACGTTTACCTACTTATTTTTACCTTAATGACATTCATTTTTTTAAATTTAATTAGTCTTTAATCAAATAGGGCCCACTAATACTATACATTTTTGGTTTTCATCTAATCGCAAAGAAACTTTGGAAAGTCGTTAAGAATACTCCAGGCAGTATTTTATTCTGAAAAGGTGCCTGAAAGAAACTCAGACTTTTGGGAAGGTTTCTGCCATTAAATTTTATTTTATTTCGGAGGGCGACCCAAAGTTTCCCAGCTGCTATTTTTGCACCTGAGGTCCGTTGATTGGGTGTCCGGCTCAGTGGGTCAGCGTAATTACTTGATCCAGCAGTCAAACTGCACAAGTGCATTAGCCGGCGCCCCAGCGGTTGTGTAACCCGGTATTCGTTTTAATGAGCGCCATACACTAGGGACACGGAGTGATACTAAATCGATTACTATATCGAACTCCGGCATACGGATGACACCAATCACACGAATATTCTACAAAAGAGACACGGTAGGCCTCTACGTTTGATGATTAAATGAACCAGGGGTTGCATCAGGCTACCTGCGGTAGTGTAACCGGTGACTCCCGCGACACCCCTGACACATAGGCGGTCGCCGAAAAGTATTCAATCTCACTATTACGGATTATGATTAACATACACTCAATACTTTCATACAACACGCCCAAGGGCGTCTGAGCGGCAGTGTGAACAAACCCGCGTCCCCGCAACAAGGATCCCCCCAAAAAAAGCGATGGCGTTGTTTATATTTTAACTATCTCAGTTTTAGGAAACAAGGTCACACGACTATAAATACACTATTGGTAACACGTTGATGAAACCCTTACAAATTGTTTCAGATCCCAGCAACGTGGACGGGTACGCTAGTTAGTTTAAACATTCTTTAACATTCCCCGGGAAGGAGATTTTCAAGCCTGTGATGGGATTTTAAAATCTCATTATGATGATGTTATTTTGTTATGAAACAAATTGTAGATATTGTATCAGAAGCCATCCTAAGTATCGAACTTACAGAAGTAGCTAAAATAGATCTCAATGAACACATGGATCATTCTGCAAAATTAAAAGCATGAAAAAAACCAGATCTAAATAAAGCATGAGGAAATTTTTAAAAATGTGTTTGGTTCTGGCGTCACAAGGTCGGATGTTCCACTGTGAGTTTACGAAAGGTGCTACGCCATCGTGTCAGCCCTCTCTCATTAAGCTTTTATAATTTTAGCTGGATACAACATAGCTTTGACAGTAAATTCTAAAATGTTTTGTCAATGTGTCAGGCATAAATGTTTTCATCCGATGCGGACCGCACCTCTTCACCCGCCTTGTGACGTTACTGTATTTGGTTACTAACAAAAACAACACATTAACTGTAAGCCTGTAACATTTTTACAAAACTATGGGGTAGTAGCAGTAGTAGGCCTACATAATAATATAGTATAAATACATAATCAGGACATATAAATTTACGTGCAGAATATTTATATTATTTAAAACTATCCATCGTAAGTAGCAGTTGATCTTTTTGTGTAACTCCATTGTAGCCTAACGACTGACAAAGGGGCCCACTGATTATTTTTGCATAGGGGCACAAAATTCCTAGCTACGCAACTGTCTTCATGTCTTGACCCACATGCCGACGTTGAAAAAAAAGTGTCCGAAATTTTGCTCGGGCGTTTCGATCTAGACAGACAGATAGACGACTGACGACAGACTGACGAGAAAGTGAGTTAAATAAAAGCTGTGTAATTTGTAAAGCCGATTGTAAGCTTTGGGTGTTTCCGAGATGATTGAAAACATGCTAATTAAATAAGCCTACATGAGAAAAGCTGCTTTCAAATGATGCCAAATACAATATATAAAACGTTTCGTAGAGAGCTTGTAAGATTGAGAAAAAAATGATTATTTTTAATTAATAAGGTTATAATAATGGTATTTTAAACACTATTTAAAAAAAAATTAGGTCTATAATTTTCTTAATATAAAAATGGACAAATTATCTAAAAGTGCAAGAAACCCATGATGATAAAAAACTAGGAATTTGGTGATTGTTGTAAGGAGCATATCCCATTGAATCAAACTGTTCGCTGCATCATCGCGTACTTAAATTCGTAATGCCATACATCCATCGCAGGTATAAATATTCTCTACACTCTTCTTGCGACTCTATGTTCTAGACTATTCTCTATGTTCTAGATTATTCTCAATGTTCTAGACTATTCTAGTAACTCTATGTTCTGGGGTCGTCCATAAATGACGTCACACCCGTAGGGGGGAGGGGGGTCCGTAATTTTGTGACGGTGTGTGATGAGGGGGAGGGGGTTCAGATTGTATGACGTCACTTTTTTGCATTATAAAAAAGCAATGTTAAAAATCGAGTTTTAGCCGTTATTTCGCGTTTTAGAAAAAGGTTTTAATAAATTGTAATAGGGATTGATCAAAATACTCTATGTTGACAGAGTTCTGACAAGGTTTTGGAAAAATATCGATGTTGTAAGAAAAATTAAATAGCAATTTTGAGGGGGGGGGGGGGGGCTGTAGGCTGAGGTGTGACGTCATTTTATGGGAGGGGGTCTGGCTTTTTGTGACGACGTGTGACGGAGTGGAGGGGGGAGGTAAAAATCGTCCAAAAAAAAGCGTGACATCATTTATGGATGACCCCTCTAGACTAGTCTCGTGACTATGTTCTAGACTATTCTCGTGACTCTGTTTTTTTAGATGCATCTTGTTTTTAAATTTAAATGAGCAATCACAGAAGAACAAACCACTAAATATTAAATCTACGAATATTAAAAGAACAACTCACCAAACATTAAGTTAAATCTGACTGTGTATAATAAGAAAAAGTCAACAAGTGATGTTCAACTGTTGGCTTGCCTGAACAGACGTCAGCCCATTTTTATAGCTTGTCACGGGTTTGTGCTTTTTCTGATAAAAAAAAACCCACACACCTCTAACAGAATAACCCCCCCCCCCCCCGGCCTCGAACAGAATATCCCTCTCCTCCCCCCCCTCTTCAAACTCCCGCCTCGTTTATTCTTTAAAAGACAAACTAATCGTTTCATTGATGTCGCGACCTTTAGATAAGTTACATGTTGATGTTCAAAATTTAGGTCTGCTGGTTACATGTTTCACTTATAATCCGTTGTAATTCATGAGGAGAATTTTATCAAACGTAAAAAGGTTGAAAAGGCCTATTTTAAGTTTGTAGCTACATTTTGTAGCTGAATCTTGCGTCTGTTGACAATGAAGATTACATTTAAGAACAATGGTGAAAAGTAGCACTCCGGTGAGGCAGAGTAATTTTAACTGGTAACAGAAGTTCGCATTGGTTAGGTGAGTTAAGGTTAGGGTTAGGGCTAGGGTTAGGGTTAGTGTTACGAAGTTAAGAGCTGACGTTTAATATTGTGTGCTTTAGGGTGTATAGGGGTTAGGGTTAGGGCTAGGGTTAGGGTTAGGGTTAGTGTTAGTGTTAGTGTTAATGTTAGGGCTAGGGCTAGGGTTAGGGTTAGGGTTAGGGTTAGCGTTACGAAGTTAAGAGCTGACGTTTAATATTGTGTGCTTTAGGGTGTATAGGGGTTAGGGTTAGGGCTAGGGCTAGGGTTAGGGTTAGTGTTAGTGTTAGTGTTAGTGTTAGGGTTAGGGCTAGGGCTAGGGTTAGGGTTAGGGTTAGGGTTAGGGTTAGGGTTAGGGTTAGGGTTAGGGTTAGGGTTAGGGTTAGCGTTACGAAGTTAAGGGGGCAGTATCACCCAGACATTTGAAAATTGACGAAAAAATTTGCCAAAAAATAACTATTACACATACACACATAATTTTTTTACCATAATAGTAATTAATAAGGAGCTATAAAACAGCACATAAAAGAAAGTTAACGTATGATGCAAACATTTTTTATAAATAATTTAACCAAAAATTTTTTACAAAGTAATTTGTGGCTGCGGTTTTCCAACATTTAGGCCCTTCCTGCTGAAAATACACTGGGAGATGTATGACAGGATAGCCTATCGTTGGAACTAGAAGATATCCATTGTGACAAATTTTGAAATTTTTAGATTTTTTCAAAGTCAGACCAAAAAAAATTGAACTTAGAAATTTTCTAAAAAATTCATCCTTCATTAGAATCCTATTATTTTAGTTCCGACGATAGCCATTAACGCAAGGAACGTTTATACCAAATTTTAAGTACTTTACTTATGGTTTCGGAAAATTGTTTACAAAAAATTCAAAATGTAATAAAATATTAACAAAATAATTTTTTGCAAATTTGTTGCTATACATATACCCTACAATTTATATACTGTATTATAGCAGAAGAAACGTTACTACTGCTGTACAATTTTGACATATGTATGTCGAATAGTTTTTTTTGGTGAATATTTTTGTTTTCCTCCCTTAGTCTGGGTGATACTGCCCCCTTAAGAGCTGACGTTTAATATAGTGTGCTTTAGTGTGTATAGGGGTTAGGGTTAGGGCTAGGGTTAGGGTTAGGGCTAGGCTTAGGGTTAGTGTTAGTGTTAGGGTTAGGGCTAGGCTTAGGGTTAGTGTTAGTGTTAGGGTTAGGGTTAGGGTTAGTGTTAGTGTTAGTGTTAGTGTTAGTGTTAGGGCTAGGGCTAGGGCTAGGGTTAGGGTTAGCGTTACGAAGTTAAGAGCTGACGTTTAATATAGTGTGCTTTAGGGTGTATAGGGGTTAGGGTTAGTGTTAGTGTTAGTGTTAGTGTTAGTGTTAGGGCTAGGGTTAGGGTTAGCGTTACGAAGTTAAGAGCTGACGTTTAATATAGTGTGCTTTAGGGTGTATAGGGGTAAAATAAGATCAGCAATTGCGGGTCGGCTCATTGGAAAACGTTAATAAAAAAGGCGAGACATTCGACAGCATTTCAATAGTTTGGTAGATGAGGTCGGGGCGAGGTCGTGAGATGGTCGGACGGTGGGGAAAACTCATAAAACTTTTGACAGGGGCATAGAACTGGGGGAGAAAAGAGACGTGGCAGAAATCAAACTTTTGTGCTTAAGTCTGTGACCTTAATTTGCAACCACTGACCGTAAAATAGGAATAAACACTTGGGATGTAGCTGTAAAAATCTTTGTTCACGCCAGGGGATTTATACTTTAGGGTTCAAGCTTTATGCGTGCCGAGCTTGACTATACTTTAAGGGTTCATGCTTCAGGGGTTCATGCTTTAGGGGTTCATGCTTTATGCGTGCTGAGCTTGACAGTTTGTATCATACTTTTTAAAACTATTACATGAGGACCGTTATAAACCAAATAATCAATTTCATAAACAAATCATTTATTTATGGCCACCTATGTTTATTTGTGACAAGTTAATCGATTTATATAACCACGCAATTAAGTTTTTAAATCAAATTGTAACAGCATTATAACATAATGTAGGCTACAGTTCAATTTAATAATTTTTTACATAACAATTAACACTTCTGGATTGCAGACATTTACATTGAGGTTTAACTTTAATTTTGGAAGTATAACCATTTAACTATCTACTCAGAAATTTTCAGACTTCTATAGTCAACATGAATCTCTTTTTTTACGATGTGAAACATGGTTACCGCCCCCACCTATTCAAATTTACACTTCAATGTGGACAGCGGCTTTGTCGAGCGTGTATTATGTTTTTTATTGCACGCTAGGCACATACATCTCTACATCCATCTAAAGGCCAAACTCCCGTTTTTTTTTCAACAATCAGTGACGACATTCTGCTTTGTGTATAGACGATAAATGTAGACATTGCCACACTACTTTATCTGGTAGCCTTGATCTACACGTAGTTACTGCACATTGATACTAAATATAGTCGCAGTCATACTTCTAAACTTTGCACCCAAAATCAAACTTGACAAAAGTCGCATTGAGAGTTTCTTTCAGGCAACTCTTACCCCCCCCCCCCTCAAAAAAGTATACCGCCCCCTCTAACGAAATAGAATTTATATATTTTTACAAGTGTTCGCCCATTCCCCTGGAAAATTTAGAAAATAAATAATTTAAAAAGCTTGTGCAACATCTGGAAACTCTTCTAAGAGGGTATGATATTTAAAATTCTAAATGTGATTTTTTATTAATACATGTTTATATTTAATGATTACTGAGATATGTATGGATAGAAATGTATATGGAAATTTATTAAAACGACATTTTCTGGGTAATCCTGTGAAAATCCCCTCCCCCCTCATAATTAAAATATATGCAGAACATATTCATATCTTTGACTTAGTTGAATTAATTACCTTAAAATATCTTTAATAACTCCCTTAAAATATTACTCTATGGCGATCGGGTCGAGTTTTTTTTAACTACATGCATATGTTCCACGCTTCCGCTGAGAAACTCTGGGGAGTTTATTAAAACACTACATGAAAAGGTTCTGCATAAAATTTTTTTTTTTAATTCTTAGAAAACAAGTCTAGTATATATATATATATATATATATATATATATATATATATATATATATATATATATATATATATATAAGCCTTGAGAAGGGGGATATCTAATATCTACCTTCCTAGGCTTCAGAGTTTCTTCCAGGCATCTCTTCGGGGGGGGGGGCGAAGCCCCCCCGAAAATTTTTTACCGCCCCCCCCGAACGAAATGAAATTTATATAATTTATATAGAAAATATATACTTTTAACAGTGTCCGCCCCCCCCCCCCCGAAGAAAGTTTACCGCCCCCCCGAAGATTTCAAGTGCCCCCCCGGAGAAAAAAGTCTGGAAGAAACACTGCTAGGCTTATCTACAAAAACTAGCCGGTCAGCGCAAGTCCGGCTAGTGCAAGGGATCCGTTGATTGCGCGTCCTGCATGAGTACTACTTATTCAACGATCAAACTGCAACACGGGCGTCGAAGACGTACGGATGACACAAAGCACAAGAGCAACCTACACTAGGGACACGGCGGGCCTCTACGTTAGATGATTTAAACCGAACCAGGGGTTGCATCCGGCTACCTACGGTAGTATAACCAGTAACCTCCGTGACGTCTGTAGGCGGTCGCCAAAATGTATTCAAACTCCCTATTACGCTGATGATTAACGTACACTCAATACTTTCATACAGCACGCTAGATAGCAGCAACGCGGACAGTTGCGCTAGTTACGTATACGTACTCTTTAACATTATACTTTTTAAAAATATCTATGATGGAATTCTTAAATCTGACTATTTGCTCATTGTGATGCTGTACATTTATTATTAAAAAAAAATTGTACATATGCCCATTGGGTCAGTAACTTTGTCATCGTAAGAATAGAAAATACAGAAGCAGCTAAAATGAATCTCAAGGAACTTATTAATCATTTTGCAAAGTTAAAAGCATGAGAAAAAGACAGATCTAACTAAATCATGAGCAATTTAAACAAAATTGTAATTGGTTAGCTGCATCACAAGGTCGGTTACCCTACGCGTTTACTAAAGGTGTCACCCTATTGCCCCCAACAACTGTGCACTTTCGGTGGGGTGTTAGCCCTCTCTCACTTATCTTTTATTATTTTAGCTGGAAATAGCATAGTTTTGACAGTAAATTTTACACTGTTTTGTCATGGTGTCATCCGACAACACGTCTGCCTCGCCTTGTGCGCTACTGTGTTTAAAAGTAAAGATTCTTCTTTAGAAAATAAGGATCCATTTGGCAGATGAAGTGAAGTTCATATGTTTCTTGACCTCGGCATATAAAGGGTTAATGTGGTCAGCACTATGCCAGGCGTCTTTACTTCCCCTATGGTGAATTAGGTATCCATCAGAGTTGGGTGGACTCACGGACGTTCCACTAACTTGAACCTGGATTCGAACTCGAAACTATTGGGTTAGCAGTCTAGCGCTCCGCCGCTACTGTGTTAGGTTACTTAAAAAAATAAACTGTAAGCCTGTAACATTTTTACAAAACTACGGGGTTGTAGGCCTTCATTATTATATAGTCTAAATACACAATCAGGACGTATAAACTACATAATGTACAGAATATTTATATTATTGAATATTTATATTATTGATTCCTTCATTTAACTTTATTGAAGCCTAACGGCGGATGAAGGGGGCCCACTGATAATTTTTGCATAGGGACCCAAAAATCTTACATCACTGATATATATATATATATATATATATATATATATATATATATATATATATATATATATATATATATGCATATATGGATAGATGGAGGGATGGGTGGATGGATGGATGGATGGATGGGTGGATGGATGGATGGATGGGTGGGTAAGTGGGTGGGTAAGTGGGTGGAAGGGTGGGTGGAAGGGTGGGTGGAAGGGTGGGTGAAGGATGGATGGATAAAACAACCATCATGTCTAATACAAAACAACATAGTATTTTCAAAATAACAACGCTTTATTACTATTACAAATGTAACTCTACTACAATACAGAAGATTTCTCTCTACTTCTATCTACTACCTCAGCCCTTCCCTCTACTTTTATCTACTACCTCAGCCCTCAGTTTTTCCCTTTACTTTTATCTACTACCTCAGCCCCCAGTTTTTCCCTTTACTTCTATCTACTACCTCAGCCCTCAGTTTTTTCCTTTACTTTTATCTACTACCTCAGCCCTCAGTTTTCCCTTTCTAATTTTACTACCTCAGCCCTCAGTTCTTCCCTCTACTTTTATCTACTACCTCAGCCCTCAGTTTTTCCCTTTACTTCTATCTACTACCTCAGCCCCCCGTTTTCCACTCTTCTTCTATCTACTACCACAGTCCTCAGTTTTCCCTCTTCTTCTATCTACTACCTCAGCCCTCAGTTTTTCCCTTTACTTTTATCTACTACCACAGTCCTCAGTTTTCCCTCTACTTCTATCTACTACCTCAGTCCTCAGTATTCCACTCTTCTTCTATTTACTACCCCAGCCCTCAGTTTTTCCTTTTACTTCTATCTACTACCTCAGCCCTCTATTTTCCCTATCTAATTTTATCTACTAGCCTAGCCTTCAGTAATTGTAAAAGTCTCCATAGACTTTGATCGTCCGATCATTTTTTCTGTCTTCACTTTGTTCTCGTCTACTGGACGGACAGTGCTCTTTGAACTTGTTTTCTTCAGCGTGTTTTTTTTCTTTTTCTTTTGCCCATGCTGAATCTTTGAGAGTATTAAATAAATTGGCTTATCGCTGATTGGAAGTTTTAATCCTTCTTTCATGGCACGATTAAGGAGCTGTATGAATCCTCTTCGATAGATCCTCAACTGTGGAATGACAGCGGTATCATGTTTGCCTGGAGGGTCATGTGCAGGTTCATTGTATTTCTTCTACGTTATTTCTATTTCTATACAAGGGTAAAATATACCTTTCTTTTCGCGAATTGTCTGACGTCACATTTATATATATATATATATATATATATATATATATATATATATATATATATATATATATATATATATATATATATATATATATATAAAGCAATGTAAGTATGTGTGTGTGAGTGTGTGTGTGTCTGTCTTTTATGCATTACTACACCTATTATCACATCGCCGTGAAACTTTGGGAAGTTGTTGAGAATATTCCGGGGGAGGTATCTGCAAAAAAAAAAAAAAAAATTCAAATTCGCTGGGATGGCGCGCCGATAGGGCGCGATTTGTTTTCTTCTAAATATACGGTATATAAAGATATAAGTCGATTGCGGTTTCGCACCGTTTATTCGATCACCATCAAACTTTGGGGAGTTGATTAGAAAACTCCAGGGAAGGGTTCTGCAAAAAAATCTATTTTAATGTCGCAAGGGCGGCGCCACGGGAGGGTGCGATTTTTCTCTATATACGGTATATAAAAATAATAAAAGTGAATTGCAGTGACACCGTTCACAGGATCTCCATGAAACTTTGGCAAAATGTTGAGAACACTCCTGGAAATATTTCTGCGTAAAAAACATTTTCAAATTCGCAGGGGTGGCTCCCCGACAGCACGCAATTTGATTTTTCTATATATACGGTATATAAAAATAAAAGTCGATTGCGGTTTGACACCGTTCATTCGATCGCCATGAAACTTTGATTAGAACACTGCAGGGAAGGGTTCAGCAAAAAAAAAAAAAAAAAAAAAAAAAAAAATTCGCAAGGGCGGCGCAACGAGAGGGTGCGAATTTTCTCTATATATCTTATATAAAAAATAAAAATCTAATGCGGTCTGACACCGTTTATCCGAGTGCTATGAAACTTGGCGCAGCTGATTAGAGCACTCCAGGGGAGGTTTCTGTAAAACAATCTTTTTTAATTTCGCAAGAATGGCGCCCCGGGAAGGTGCGATTCTACTCTATATACAGTATATTAAAAAAAATGAAAGTCAGCTGCGGTTCGACACCTTTCATCCGAGTGCTATAAAACTTTAAAGAGTTGATGAGAATACTTCTGGGCAGGTTTCTGTTAACAAAATAATTAAAATTTGATACGAGCGGCTCCCTGGAGTGTGCGAGTTTCGGAGCGGCTATGTTAGCACTTAGCATCCGTTAATCGTTCGTCCTTCATAGTGGGTAAGGGGTACTACTATATTCAGCGTTAAAACTTCAACAGGCGTAACCGTCGGCGCCCCGTAGATTGCACGACTCCACCGCCTCGGGTTCCCCTACGAGCACTATGGCGCCTCTGCGTTAGTTTAATCTGGGGCTCCCGAGAGCGTCCCTCTGCGTCCCTGACACATGGTCGGTCACCGAAGTGTGTTCTACCTCATTATTTCGGTGAGTGATTAAGGGGCTAGGCTCCAGAAAAAAAAAACTTCTTAATTAAAACCTTTTATTGATTCATTTGTGTATATCTAAGTTAGGGTACTTGAAGGAAGATATTTCATGGCATCAGGGACTCTTTTGAAAATATGGTTGCCATGGCAACGGCGGCCATCTTGAAAAAAAACATCCTTTTCTGGAGTTCTAAAATTTCATAAACAAACATAAATATCGGCTATATAACCATTGATCCTTCTTGTACTAACGCTAATAGAGTCAGCTGGCTAGAAATATTTAGAATCACTCTAGAAATATATTTTTTTAATTTTCAAAATTTGGTGTGACGAGATTCCAATGAAAATAATGCTAAATTCAATGGAATTTCACCACACAATTTTTTTGAAAATTTGAAAAAAATATTTCTAGTTGTTTTTCGGTTACAAAAATTAGCCAGCTGACTCTATTGGTGTTAGTACAATAAAGATCAATGATTATATGGGCGGTTTATATGTTACTTTAGGAAATTTTAGAACTCCACAGAGGTAGTTTTTTCCAAGATGGCCGCCGTTTCCATGGCAACCATATTTTCAGAAGAGTCCCTGGTACATCCAAATATTTTTCCTTAAGTGCCCTAACTTATACATACACAAATAAATGAAAAAGACTTATTACTTTAAAAGTTTTTTTCACCGTTTTTTTCGGGAGCCTATCCCCTTAACGTACACTCAAGGTTTTCATGCGGTAGTGTAGGTAAACCAGTGTCCCGATATTTATGATCCAAGCGCAGGTATTTGTTTACATTTAAATAACTCGGTTTTAGAAAACAAGGTCGCGCGTCTAAGAACATAGGATTGGTAAAGCATTCATGAAATCCTTCTTATATATTTCATCAGACTTTCTTCTATTCCCCGGCAACGCGAGGGGACGGGTACGCTAACATAATGTGAAAATATTCAATAAAATCAATATTAAATAAAAATAAAAAGAAGTACGTCGGAAAATATAATATTAGGTAATGGCATAATCGCTAATAAAGACACAAATTAGCGCATAATTTATTCATCTAATTACACATGTAAGTGTATGCATTAATAAATAATAAGGCAAATATATCTACTAAAAAGGCATAAAGATGATCAAAAATTGATCTGGAATGGTGATAAATAATTATAATGGCCAAAACCTTACAATTATATATCCAATAGAGTTTCTGGTTGAGTGGAATCGGTAACTGTTGTAAAATTTTCTAATTAAAGTAACACTGTGCTGACTTTGTGAAACTAATATTGTGCTAGAATGGTCAAACATTGATTGTCCTATTATGGTCAAACTAAAATGATAACATTCTTAATAAAAGATTTTAACTTTTAAAGGGAAATGTATAAATCGCAATAATCACAAATGTACAAAGCCAAAAAGAAAGATTTATAGGTAAGCTTTACAGTAATTTAGTGTTAAGTTTACAACGACTTACAGTTGGGTTCTGCAGTAAGGTGTAGGCTACAAGCCAGTTAACCCTGGCCCCTGATAACACTTGGTCACGATGGCGTTTTTCACCTGAAAGGTGGTCAGGTGGTTATGTTAGACAATCCGCTCCCTCCACATACGCAAAACATATTGATCCGACCGCATACAAAAGCACACCTCTCTCTCTCTCTCTCTCTCTCTCTCTCTCTCTCTCTATATATATATATATATATATATATATATATATATATATATATATATATATCTTTCACATCTACACAACTGCATCAATACATGGTTAGACGTATGAGGCTACAGGTGGTAAAAACCTACTGGTCAAATGCGTGGACAGGTGTGGAGCTTCTGGTGAGTCAGGCAAACGAGTTGATTTCTCCTGAGCTTTTCGTGAGTGACTTAACGCCTTAAGTAACCTGATGAACACGAGTAGCACGGGGTTTGTGTGAGAGGCTTCGAGGTGAAGGTAACCAAGGTATGCTCTAAAACCTAAAGGTAAATGTAACCAAGGTATGCTCTAAAACCTAAAGGTAAATGTAACCAAATTATGCCCTAAAAGTGACAATGTAAGAAGAAAGTCAGTTTATGTACTAAATGAAGTTAGATTATAGATTATATTAGTTAATTAATTTTAATCTTGACCCACGTGCTAACTTTCAAACGAATCTGTCAGTTAGAAGTGCCCGAAATGTCACGCCTGTTTCGATCTTTGACGACAGACAGACAGGACAAGGAAGCACGTTTTTTAAAAATCTTGTAAAAAGGTTAACGTACTGGAAACAAAATCATAAAAAACTTTTTATAAAATGGTTTTATATAATTACTAGCAGAGCGTGAGGGTGGCGATAGAATATCCCTTGCGTGTTCGTCGCATTATCGAACCCCACTTGAATTTTTTAAATTGGAGATGAAAAACGTTAAAAAAAATTCATAAAAAACGTTTTAATAACAAGCTTTTATGTAATGATGCACTAAAAAGTAGAAAATAAATTATACACTACTATTTAAATTACTATAAAGAAAAGCGTGGGTCACTTTAGTACTTTAGTACCTATTGGATACCTTTACTAATATTTGAGAAGAGACCCACGCTTTTCTTTATAGTAATTTAAATAGTAGTGTATAATTTATTTTCTACTTTTTAGTGCATCATTACATAAAAGCTTGTTATTAAAACGTTTTTTATGAAAAAAAATTTCAGTACTTTACATGTTTTATTTACAATAGTGTTACATGACTAAAAACCATTGCGCGTCTATTGAACGTGATGGCGCGCCTACTGAAGGTGATGGCGCAGCGATTGAACGTGATGACGCGTGTGGTGTGGTTGAATAGACATGCCTATTGATTCGGTCCAAATTTTAAAAAATTCATAAAAAATTAATTAGGCATCCAATTAAGTCAAATTTAGTTTCAGATTGCATTGTCTTCATGTCTTGACCCACGTGCCAAATGTGAATCGTATCGGTCAAGTAGAAGTTTCCGAATTTTCACTCCTGCGTTTCGATCTAGTCTGACGACAGATAGACTGTCGACAGAATGTCGACAGTCTGGCGACTGAGGAAGTGAGTTAAATAAAAGCTTGTAAAAAAAAGGTGATTCACTTATTTTTTATCAGAGTCATTGTAATTATGATGCGGTTTTTTTTTAGAGCGAACCTGATATGAATTTTAAAAAATAGTTATGAACCAAAAGCCGAATAAAACAGCAATCACTTAGAACCATTCGCTGTCCGCTTTGTGGGTGGAACATTCAAACTAAACAAAAACTCACTATGACTATTTAGGTTATATGCCAAAAGAGTGTTTAGCTAACACGCCATAATCTTGGCCAGTGATTATATCTATTCGTGAAAATATTTTATGTAGATTAGCATAATCTCTGTAATCATAAAGTAAAATCTCGTTTTAATTAAAGTATGTCATAATTTAAACCTAATAGCAGAGTTTCTTCCGGGAATCTCCCCCCCCCCTAACGAAATGGAATTTACATAGAAAATATATACTTTTACCAGTGTCCGCCCCCGGAAAATGTTGACCCCCTTCCCCCCGAAAATATCAAGTGCCCCCGGAGAAAAAAGCCTGGAAGAAACACTGCCTAATAGAAACAACAAACAGATATATTATCTAAATCTATAGTAGGCCATGTTCGCACTTCTCTCTCTCTCTCTCTGTCTGTCCGCAAAATATTTTCGCCGGACATCACATCAGAATCTACAGCGATATATCGAGAACTTTTTACGGACTTTTGTTGAAAATAATATGTTAGATGTTTTAAATGTATAACCACAATTTTATTCAAAGAAGAAAAATAAAAAATAAAGGCGTATTCGAATATAGAGAAACAGTATTATTTATGCAACCGGAAAAGTGTATAAACTTGGGACAAGAACGCATTTAACAATGACGTCGCTTATTGTTTACACTAAAACACTAAAACAAGAGCACGAAACTGATGACGTCATCTTCCGAGTTTAGAATTTTAAAAAATGAACTATTTCATTCAAATATGATTTAGAGCTATGTACGCTATGAAATGTAGACTACACAATACGATATTCTCGGCCTAAACTTTAAAAAAATATTTTATCTATTTGGATTCTAGATCTAGAGATTCTAGATCTAGACTAGATCTAAATCCACGCAAAAACTACACTTAGACGCTATTCTAGATCTAGATTTAGACTCTATCTGCTGTAGAATCTATTCCAAAAATAAATTTGTATAATAAACTTTTTCAGGACTTAAATATTTTATAGAAATCTGTGTTTGTTTAGCAATGAAACTGGCTAATTTTGGGTAAAAAAAATAATTTGAAAAAATAGGCATATTCGTGTAAGTTATTTTTTTAAACACTTCTTTTAATCTCCAAATTTTAAAAGGTACCTAATTAGCTGAGATGATAGTGTACTTGATATCAGACAGGTGGTGCTGGATCGAGACACACCAAGTCAAACCTAATTTTTTTTTATATGTGAATCTTCCTATTTTAGACTATAAAGAAAGGAACTACTTTGGAAATCTTTGTTTATCTATGCAATTTGCTAATCTCTATAATATATGAAGCAAAGTTGTTGGGTGCCCGACATCGGGCACTTCCAGGCGCCGCAGGCGCTTCAAATTTGGCAGGATTTTGCCTTGGGGTGACAGAACCAGAGTTTCTTCCAGGCATCTCTTCGGGGGGGGGGGGGGGGGGGGGGCAAAGCCCCCCCGAAAATTCTTTACCGCCCCCCCGAACGAAATGGAATTTATATAATTTGTATAGAAAATATATACTTTTAACAGTGTCCGCCCCCCCCCCCCCCGAAGAAAGTTTACCGCCCCCCGAAGATTTCAAGTGCCCCCCCCCCGGAGAAAAAGTCTGGAAGAAACACTGGACAGAACACGGGGGCCGGTGCCGGTTGGCCTAAAGGTCTACGATGAGGGGGTCAAAACAGACCTCGACTGACCGACGCCTTATATTAGCTATAATTCGAAAAAAAATTGAGGTAGACCGACCCTCGGGCGAATTAATTAAGCATTCAAATTCTCAATGTTTTTGAAAGCCTAAGCGAAGCTGGGCAGCATGCCTAGTCTAATATATAAAGCTCAAATGCCGCTATATGCTGCTTCTCAAACACACAAGTCATGGTCCTTTACAGATAGGTTTTTCACAGAGGCCAGTGCAGGGCTTGGCAGGGGCGGCTAGATAAAGTTGTAGCCGAAAACTGGTAATGCATTAAAACTTTCTCTATCAGCAAATACTCATCATAGATAATTATAAAGTACTGTCCAATGAACGGGCTGTCTTTATATTATTTGTCTGGTAAACGGGTTATCTATTCATGTTTCTGACTAACCCAAAGGTTCCAAAAAAATTATCAACAGACTACCCGTTTTAGTGTATTTTAAAAAAAAGTGATTATCGAATACTCCACAACCCCTCTCTCAAAAATAAAACAATGTAATAAACAAACGAAAGAACAACTACAAAAATAGCGTATTAAATATTATTTTGTTTTCAAATATTATTTATAGTATAATGCGATATTTGAAATTGTTTAACTAGCTTCAAAATTCGCGGGTGTGTTTTTATAAACACCAATCTCATGGCCTAAGTCATTGTTAACATTTTATTTATTTTTAAAAATTCAACACAAAGAAGAGTTCATAGGAAGATAATTGAATTAAAACTAGAAAGACAAGCATGCTCACTTTTTGGATTGAATTAGATCTATATTTGCACCAGCAGAATGGATTAGAAAATGTTTTGTCTCCGGGGATTCATACAGCAAAAACCAAAAATTCATCGTCTTGCTTATCGGGAAATTAGCATTAAGCAAAACTGATTTTGGCTTCTTATTCGTTATTCAAGGTTGTAAAGCAGATTTGATTGTCGTTTTCCGCTAAATTTGGCAATGACTCGAGACCTTTGGTGAGTCGCAACTTACAGTTTGAAAACCCGCGTTATAACTTATCTCTTACAAACATCAACTTGATGCGCATATGCAAAAACAAAAGTTAGAAAAAAATGTTACCCAAATGGATGAAAATGCCCTAACATTACACCTCTATGGCACGAATCAAATCAAAACTGACGAAACTGACCTGGGTCGAAGAATTCAAAAATTCGAGGGAAAGCATTTGTTTCCATTCTACCAAGTACCATCGTGATGACCAGTAAACTGCGAAATATTCTTAGAGCGAATGAGCCGATTCCAATAAAAATGTTGCAGAAGAAGAGAAAATAGGAAGCTATGTTGTATGCGCGCCTAGAGAAAAAAAAACATTTTAAAAAATGCATATATATATATATATATATATATATATATATATATATATATATATATATATAAAAGATTGCCTTCAATCTATTCTCGCAGCCCCCAAAAGCCACAGAGGCATGTAACCACCTGTAGTGTATCTATTCGTCCACCGCTGAGGAAGTCCAACTCATATTAAAAAAATCGCTCTCTTACTGCTAGTTCGACCTTACAATACTATTTCTTGATGAATGCTCACTGTTTAAATTATACCATGAAAATCAACAGACCTCCAATGTCACATGTCTTAGAGAGAACCGGGTCACAATCTTCATTTAATCACGCCGGATCTTAGTTGCACCAATGACCACCATAGCCTAGCAAGGCCAACGACGTGTTTATACACTATCAGCATTCTGTCTCCGCCCTCACACAATGTCTACACAACAACTCGTTCGTTCTGTGTCTCTCAACGTTTCCGCCACGATTCCAAAAGTAGCGCTGCTTATATAAACACCCAAACACACGCAGCTAGCACATCCGGTATAGTAAACAAGCTCTTACAAGTTCAGACTTTTATTTCGGTTTTGGACGCGAGCGAGAAAGTATTCAAGATGCCCATTAATTAATTTAAAAAATCATGCACGGCTTCATTACAATTAATATGGTGATAAAATCCTGTCTGGTTATTTTTCGGACTTTACTAAAGATTTAATGTATTTGATGTTTATAATATTTTCGGTAACTAAATAAAAATAATTTAAAAAAAAGCAAAAACAATTTGGTTTTCACGTGTAATGGCGACATAAACAATGGCATCCTGCTATTCGATAGGCTGCCATAAATTTTATTGTACACATTGTAAGCGAAAAAAAAGGAAAAGTAGGTCATGGGGTTTAAATTTGCATTGTTATTTAAAAACTTTATGTGCAAAGTTTTGTAAACAAATAGTTAACGATCACGGACTGCCATTACAGCCAATCAATTTTTGCCTTACGAAAGTGAAAGATCCGGTTATAACTTAGGCTTGAGAGAAAAAATAGAAATTTAGCCTTAAAATCAACAAATTATTTTCAAGTTCTCTAGATTTGCAACTTTTATAGCATTGATTATAAAAATATAAAATTTCTGAAATAATTTTTGGCTTAAGTTTTTATTAATTATTATTTTTACGGTCGCTTTGTTTGCTAAATCTAAAAAAAAAGTTTTTATTCTATGTCAACAACATGATGGAAGGATTCTCGTCAACTCGCTCGCTTCTGTTGCATAAAATTGTGTATTGGTTGGTACATCTGTGTCTACTGCGCTGGTTACAACACAACTTGTTTACATCAAGTAGTCTTGGTGACAAGTCAAATTCTATTGAGATCAGTTACATAACAACATCCTGTTTACGTCGCATTTGCATAGCAGCCCGTTTCGGTTTGAGCCTTGACCTTGTTCACAACCAACTATGTTCTTATCAATTAGTAGCATTACACTACTTACATATATATATATATATATATATATATATATATATATATATATATATATATATATATATATATATATATATATATATGTGTGTGTGTGTTATACAGTGGAGTTGCGAGGTCGGGTTTCACCCGGTGCGGCACTAAATGGTGTCACCCCCCCCCCAGAGGCGTAGCGACCCTTCCCGGGGACAAACTTTCAAACTTTCGATTTGCACCCCCTCCTCAAACTTTCGATTTGAACCCCCCCCCCTCAACTTTCGATTTGAACCCCCCCCCCCCCCTATATATATTTTGCTATTTTTTGCCTTGGTGTCATTCCCTAAATGGTGTCACCCTGTGCGGTCCGCACCCCCGCCCCCTCGCTACGCCTCTGGTTATATATATATATATATATATATATATATATATATATATATATATATATATATATATATATATATATATATATATATATATACTAATATATGAATGTACTTCTCTCTCTCTCTCTCTCTCTCTCTATGTCTCTCTCTCTGTCCGCGAGATTTTTTAGGCAATGTGATAAGTATGTTCAGCAATATATGGATAGCTTAAAGATACGGACTTTTGTTGAAAATAATATGGTGGATGCTTTAAATGTATAAACTAAATTTTTATTTAAAGAAGGTAAATAAAAATTATCGAATATTCGAATGTAGAAACACATTTCACTATGCAGCCGGGAAAGTGTTTATTGTTGTGACAAGAACGCAAAAACAATGACGTCACATGCTGCAAGGTAAAACTACGGAAAGTACACAAAACTAATTGCGTCATCTTCCAATTTTAGAATATAAAGAAATGAACTTTTTCATTCAAATTTGATTTAGATCTATAGATCTACCCATCAAGACGTACGCTATGAGTGATATACAATTTTCTAGGACAAAAGCAATACTAGATCTAATTACTTTGAAAAAAAAACAACAACATAAATGCAGTTGAACAGCCGGGTTTTTAACGAAATCATTTAAGTCTCTTGATCAGTGTGTGCAATTTAATATGGTGTTTTGTTGACTAATAATGAATACGAGCCGACCCTCGGCGTATCACACGCCGCTATTTAGTTGTTTTATTTTATACTTTTCAGTAATTTATAATTTGTGAATTCGACAGTACCAATGCTGCCACTGAAAATATTTGCTTTAAAACACTACCCACACTTCCCCTAACCCCGACCCTACCCCCCCCCCCCCCGTGAAAGCAGCCTCCTCTTAGTTACCTCCTGTAAGTTTAAAATCGTTTCAAACTAAATTATCTGCCCCTAATAGCCGTCACTAAACCCGGCTCTACGATTTGTAAACATTTAGCGTGACCACAACTCACCAGACCATGTGGGGGTGGGGTGGGAGAGGGAGTGATAGTGATATAGAGAAAGAGAGGGGACTGCAAGGATGCGCTTGCAGCTTGTTTTCTAGCGTCTCCCAGAAGAGAATTATATATATAGATAATATGGGTTTTGAATAAGTATTGGTAGCCTTTGTTATTTTAAATGTGTCGGATTTTTAGCAAATTGGTTATTTCTTTGCTTTGTCTCAACGTGTAGTGTTGCGTTTTTACCAATAACTATTTTATAATTGTTTTTCCAAATACGTATAACATTAAAAATTTATAGACCTATAATTCCCATGTAACTGGTACCGACGGCTAGTATATTAATGGGTGGTCTTTTTTGTTGTTGTAAGTTTGGATTATTCAACCTGCAACCCCCTAAATTAGCTTCTGATGTCAACACATTGGAGTCAACACATTGGAGTCGAAACATTGGAGTCACTGCTTGATGGCTGTTTTAATTAACATGAGGTGAAAATAGCTAAATTAACCTGAGTTAGCCTAGTTGTAAATTAATTTTGACTGAATTTTTTTTTTATACAAATACTTCATTTTAGCTAAGATTTTTAGCTTTGATTATTGATACACATTAAAATTGAAAACTTATACCCATTATTTATCTTTATTTTGCTTTGATAGTAGTGGAGTAATAGGGCGGGATTGGATTTATATTGTTCGGTTGATCTATTTGGTCGCTACTGTTCACGGTCGTCATGTTCAATTTGTTCCACGTTTTGTTCAAGTTTTATAAGGATGGCTGGAAGGCGAATCGTTACTTCAATCCTGCGTTTTCTACCAGATTAATCTACGTTAGTATTTGTTTTAAGATAACATTATCCTAGGGTTTCTGCGGTCTTGTGTGTCACGTGGTAGACTAGTAAGAATAGGCTGGGATTCTCCTTTTTTGTTTTTATGAAGTGTTTATAGTTTATTAAAGTTATTATTGTCGTTATTTCTAACGAATAATTGATTTAAGTCTTTTATTTTGTCACCTGTTCGTGTTCATATGTCCTATGACAGTCAGGTACATTAAAATTATAGATGACTAAGTATAGTGGGAGTGGGAATTAGCATGCAATTGATCAAGTACATCAAAACCCGTATATGCACTGCAATATACAATAAAATAAAGTATAGAGAATATTTTCGAAAATTTCTTTCTTTAGTTTTTAATAGACGTATTATCCCTCAAGTTAATGTTTAAACTTTAAAAGACCTGTAATTTAATTATTAAAAATTGAAAGTTTTGTATTTGTCTGTAGAACTAAACAATTTGCGAATAGCAAGGCTATACAGAGACCAATAACCGTTTAGAAATGGATACATTAGTGCTAAAAATAGTATCGTTATACCCCATGGTACTTTTTTGCTTCACCAGTGTTACTACTTTGACACCCGTGAAGGTAAGTGATACCGTTTTATAACATTTTTGTCTTAATTACCGTGCTCTTCTATTTTAAAACTATATTTGTTTGTAAAGTTACAATGAAGATTGATTGCTTGCATGACATAATCCTCTTTACTCTTTGTAGAGCAAATCTCAACTATAACATTCTATGTTGTCCGGTACCCGGCTGTTGTCTTAGCAGCATCTCAACACTCCATATTGTTTGCCAATCCACAAAGGCCTTCTCAAAGTCAACGAAGCAAACGTGAAGTGAGGCTTGCGATTCTATCGTCTGTTCTACACTAATTCTAAGAGTGGCTAGTTGGTCTGTATAAAATATTTCCTTCCTGGACCTTGCTTGTTAATTTCTTAGCTTAAGGCCATATGCATCCTTCATTTTGTCCGCGATGACTCTGGTAAGGACATTAAATGGACAACAAGGTAATACCCTTACATTTTCCGCTCTGAGAAATGTCCAGTGTTCCAGACCAAGTTAAGCAATATATTAAGTCGATTCGCTACTTCTTCTACGCCTTTCTTTGCCTGGTCGTGATGTTTGGTCACCCTCAAACTTTTTAAAGCTTTGAGAATTTTCTGCCTGGTGATTTCCCCAGTGTTGATGTTAAGAGGTTCCCCTGGCTCCAGGTGTGGTTGTTCATGAGATGATGGGCTGCTTACCACTTCCTGGAAGGTCAATCTCCAACGTGCCAATTGTTCTCCAATTGACGTTAGAATTTTACAATTTATTACGCCTTCTTTTTTTCTAGGGTGACCTGAAAAGTTACAATATGACT